TTTCATTCCACTTTTTTAAGTTATTATTCTATTGTCTTTATCTATGTAAGAATAATTTTTAATTGATATTTCCGTTCGTTAAATCCAACAGATAGCTCCGAGGAATCGGAATGATAACCCGCCGCAAGAATTTGAGACAGCTAGAGGATAATTATTTTTCAATTCACCAAAAGCCGAAGAGGTGATGAATTTGTGAAGTTAATTGAATAAAATAATGAAAATAACTGAAATAAATTTGAACATAATAATAATAATTAATAATTCCATAAATCTTTTCCGCAGGTTTTTTTTAGGCTATTCCATTTTTTATTTCCATTCTTTTTTAAATAACTATCATTGACATAGAATCCCAGAATCAAAAAAAAAATTTGTTTTACATTTCGCGCGTATTTTTGGCGCATGCGCACTGGAAGGAATAAAAAAATATGGCCGACGATTTTCAGAGGGCGCCACGAGCTTCACTCGTCATAAAAACAACAAACCACAAAACAGCTCGACACCATCAGCTGTTTCAGCGTTTTATTGTTTATTTATACATAAATTAAATTATTTGTAAGTAACAATCAAGAGTTATCTCTTTATTTCTGTTGTTTGCATTCCATTTGATAATCAGAGATGAATGAATGATGGAAGTAATAATTTTTAGGTTAGAATTTTTATTTCTCTTATTGTAATGTATCTTTGTTATTTATTTTCCAGTTTTCGGGAGAGTTTTGGCTCTCTGCTTGTAGATGCCAAGTGTCAAAGATGACTCTGAGCCCGAAGGCGAGGAAATGTCTCACGACAGCAATAACAGTGACCAGAGCTCTGCATCCTGTGATAGCAGTGCTGAACACAGTGACAGCGATGATTCCTCGGAGATGGACGAGGATGAGTGCGAGAGGAGGAGAAATGAGTGTATGGAAAATCTCGTAGATCTCGAGAGACAATTTACACTCCTTAAAGAGCAGTAGGTGTTCAATATGAAATACAGATATATTCATAAATACCATTTTAGTGATTCTCATCAATATAATTATCGCAATGATTGATTTTAGACTGTATCGAGAAAGAATAACACAAATAGACACAAAACTGAGAGAAGTACGAGTGGAGAAATCGGATGAATACCTAGTGCCCCTGCAGCGTCTCAAAGAAAACATGGAAACGAAAACAAAAGTGGCTGATGTACTGAGAAAAATGAGACTGGAAAATATCCAGATAAAATTTGATGCTGAAGAACGTGCAGCTGAACAGAATCTGCAGAACGAGAAGAATTTACTGTGGGACTCGATTCACAGCGATCTCCAGGAGAAGATACGAAGACTCGAGGAGGACAAGAATAATGTGGATATTCATGCTGATCTGTGGCTGAGCTCCACAGGTAGAAGACGTAGGAGTCACACTGAGAGGAGACGAGCCGTTTCTGTAGCTGGACCCTACATCGTTTACATGCTCAATGATGCAGATATTTTGGAGGATTGGGCGCTTATCAAGAAAAGTCTGAGCAGCCGAAAGGCAGATATTCTGTGAATCAAGGGACACACTCGATATTGATTAATTCATTTAATCATGTTGTTCAAGTGCAGAAAGTGTTGGTGACTATTCATTATTAGGGGATTGGATAGATGGAGAGATAATCAATTTGATTATTATTAATTAGCCGAAAAGGTCCAATTGCTGTTTCAAGACAATTTGAAATTTCATTGAAAATACATTTTTGCAGATTTTAAGGCAGTCAATACGTATTTCTGTTATAGAACTATCGGTAGATATTTTTTTTGGAAATGATAATACTCGATTATAAAAAATCGATGTTCACGATAAGAAAATATTGCATGGAATGATTATTCGCATTCCTCATCCTATTCTGTTCCTTTTATCGTTTTACTTTTTGAGCTGTTATCACTTCTGATACTGCGAGGAAATTTTTTTATCTCAGCAAATCTACTGTACCAGCCACAGAGAATTGAGACTGTATGGTATTTTCCCAATTTATCGGCTTTGCTAACAGATTGTGGGTTACCATAAGCCGAAATTTACAAAATACCATGTGAATAAAAATGTTTAATGAATTTAAAAAATCGGCAATTAATTTCTTCAAATTTAATTTTTAATTTTTTCCCTGCGAGTAAATGAAAATAATTCAACCAATTCCTTTTAAAAAATTTTGATCTTCAATTTCGATTTTTTTTTCTTTCTTATTACTATTTATTAATCTTGACGAGTGAATAATACATTTTTTTACTTTTAAACGTAATTTTTTATTTATGCTATTTACAACACATACGTACAATACGTGATCCTTGCTTAAAACTACTCTAATCGTCCGGAATGAAGCCCTCGTCTCCAAATAAATCACCATCCCGTAATTATCCAAAACACATTACCACCCCAGTATGTGCTCACCTCGGATGCATGTGATATGTTACAAATTGTTTTAAAATCATCTCCTTTTATCTTTAAATTCACGGTGAACAGTACATGATCACACGAATGCTCCCCCATAATTAAACTCCATGTTGTGGAAATTTTACTCATCTCTCATTTCGAGTCAGTAATATTTGATTAGACAGTTATCGAAGAATGACATCAATATAGACAATTGCTGACTGGACAAGTATCACGACTGAAAAGGGTGAGGGATCGATTGCAAAATCGAACGAAAAATTAACATCGAATCGATTCATAATTGATCCTGACAATTAAAGAAACACCTCCCCCTTCCCCATTGAATCTCAATTAAAAAAAAAAATAATTGAAATGACCATAAGCAATTGATTATTCAATCATCAATTAATTGCGTAATTTTATCAGTTTCATTCACTCACATTCTTTGTTATCATCCACTCAGTGATTTTTATCCCTGAAAGAAATTGTCGAAATTCCGCGATGAAATGGTGGAACAAAAAATGAAAAGTAATTCTTCACACGATTCTGTGAAATCAATTAGTCTTGGATGAAAATTTTCATTACCAAATTATAATTTTCTGTAACAACAAACTAAAGCCACAGAAATTCCAATCTCTAATATTTAGTTAGGGGTACCTTGGCTTATACTTTAAAAGGACATTGAAAAATTCGCGTACGCTATTTTTTTTTTTAA